GCACCTGGAATCAAGTCTTTGTGCTCCGGGACAGTTTGGCACAAAACCCCAAGAGAACTAGCTGACTTAGAAAGGAAACAGCACCACACAGCCTCACTCCACCTACCCCACCGCGTGTCTTCATTCTGTTCCACCCACCTCCACCCATCCCCTCCCGCCTTCCACCCAGGCCCCGGGGGGCTCGGCGGCAGCCCCACGGACATCGCCTCGGCGCGGTTCGCCACGCTCCGCGGGTCGGCGCCCATGGCCATCAACCAGCGGATCAGCTCGTGCATCCTCTCCTCCTCCGTCGACGGCCCGCGAGCGAAACGCCCGGGGAACGCGGAACGCGGAACGGAGGCAACCCGAGAGGCCGCCCTCCAGGCCACACACGGCGACGCGTGGGCACGGCGGGCTTTTGGAGGCCGGTTTGCGGTGGCGTGAGGAGTGTGAGGGACATGGCCGCACATTCGGCGGCCTGAGTCTTGTATGGGGTTTTGGTGCGGCATTCAAAGAGTTTTTAGGTCACCATGGCATCAACTTGATTTTGTGTCTTCAAGATCTTCGAAGCACCTGCACGGCGCAGACCCGTAGCTTTTGGTCTTCGTGATGCTAGTTGGCCTCTGGAGCCAGGTCGGCTCCTTCTTGGCCCCCCCTGTCCGCCCGAGAATCCCCCCCGGGCTCCTCTTGCTTCCCACCGTGGCACAGCACCTCCGAGTGGGCTGCGGTCGTGGCGAGTGGGTCGGTTTCGAACGATTTCTGCAGAGGTGGTGCCGCGTCGGGGTGGGCGAGAGACACCTCTGGACGTTGGAGTGTGACGCGGTCCCAGCACTGTCGATCACCGTTCCCCCAAATGGCACGCTGCCGCACGTGCTTGCTTCAACATGTGCCGGTTCCTCCGGCGACGGCAAGCCCTATGGGCAAGGAAACGCGGAGCAAGGAAGGTCCACTGTCTACAACCGCGGCCCTGGCTTTGTAGTGCAAAATCCTGACTAAAGACAAAAGTTCTTCGGTAAAGGCGGCAAAGGCTACTACAGCAAATCAATGGGTAGAGGGTAGAGAAGTATGTTGTGGCCTCACAGCTGTGCCACTAGGGATCACAGGGACGGTTCATCCAGGACCAGGGGGGAAAACGGAGACTTGTGACATCATTTGGCTGTGCTCGGCATCACCTCATCTTGACTTGAAGACGGAACAAGAACCTATACAAAGGAACCAAGCAAGATCCCAAGAGCAGGAAAAGTGGGAGAACAAAACTGGGGAATGGTCTCAAAAGAGACAAAGGGGTCGAGGCAGGCATTACAACCATGGACGTTCCTGCCAACCTGACGCACCAACCCCCACTGCCAATCTCCCCAATTTTTTCGGAAAGTAACGGCATTGTGCACGGTCGCCATCAGCGGGGTGCCATAGAGCGGGTGACAGCTCTTCCAGTCGAACTCCCTGGGAGCCAAGCTGGTGACCAAGTCGTGCTGCCCCAGCCGCAACCTGACCAACGTTCGCGAATGCAAGAGCGGCGTGGGAGCCAATTGGGCCCATGAAACAAAGGTTACCAAAAGACAAGACTGAACTGGTCCAAAAAAACGAAACACATTTTGCGGGCCCATTTCTTGTTCTAGGCCCATCCCTAATCAACTCTTCAACGTTGCCACATCTTGAAGTTTGACATAATGTGACATGGAACTAAAAGTTGCAACACGGACAATTTCAGCCAGTCGAACGGAGGAACATGAAGCATGCCACCCGATGCACCCTACCACTACCTCCCAACCCGTCAAGCCACGCTTGCCACAGCCATTCATGGTCAACTCTCATTGCTGTGGCTCGTATTGGCATCCACTGCTCCGGCACGTCTATGGCACCCCGCGACCCCGGTCCGGGCTTATGGGGGGGGAACAGCTGGGTGCTTGGAGCTACATGCGGCCACGACTAGTAGCTTCTTGTTCCTAGCCGTCAGGCCAGGGGCGCCCCTGTAGTTCACCTGCGTCCGATCGCTCCGTTCGTTGGCGATGCCCTTGATTCCTGGTGGTCAGATTTTGCGGGGGGGGGGACATAACAAGATTCGCTTGTTTATCCCTACATCGACGATACCGACACCTGGAAGAGCCCGTGGCACGGAACGGGGGGGCGGGCGAGTAGTTCACTGGACAGGTGCGCCATGCTGCGCCCATCCAAAGAAGCAGCCCAATGCTCCACCGATGAATCAAAAAGCAATTTTTGCATCGTCAGGAGCAAGATGATCGATGCAAACATGTTGTTTCTCCCGTTTGGAGCTCTCTCTCTCTCTCTCTGCTGCTGCCTGAGATATGGACCATGCATTGGTTTCTCTGGGGCCCACCATCCAAATGGTCAAATGGCCGTTTCAGAGACGTGCTCGGCACCCAGGTGGGATCCGCGTCCGCATCCTTTCTCGGCACCAAGGACCCGCCGGGAGGCGACCCGCCACAGCTCAAAGGTACCGGTCAAACACCGGAAGACTCACCTAATAGCTTTTGCTTTCTACTAGGAACAAGTGCATCGCTTCTAGTAACAGGTGCCTTACTACTAGTAACAAGAAGCTATTAGAATTATAAAAATAAAAGCTTCTTGTTACTACTAGTAAGGCACCTGTTACTAGAAGCGATGCACTTGTTTCTACTAGCTTCTTGTTCCTAGTAAGGCCCTTGCTCCTAGTAGTAAGGCCAGGAGCCCCTACTTAGTAGCTTCTTGTTACTAGTAGCATGACAAACCAAATCATGTCCGTCAAACACACCCAACAGACCAACAGAGAGCAACGACCCCGCTCGCGCACCATCTGCGACCTCTTTGTTCATTTTTTTCCTTGGCTCTCCACTTTTCACGTTCAATCCATTGGCTCAACTCACCAATTCCGGGCATCAGCGCCATTTCAGCGGCGGCCCTCGGGCGCGCGCCTCGCGCGACAGCGCCTTTTCAGCCCCCGAGTGCGACAGCGCGAGGCCCCGGCTCTCTTTCCCATGCACTGAAAATTGGTCAAGAGACTCCGGCCTCACTCCTCGCTGTCATCATCTTCATGTGATTGGTAGTCCGGGTGATCTTTGATGAGCTGTAAGTCCTTCATGCGATCACTCTTGATGTGAAAGGCGCTGGCAATGATGTCGATCACACCAACCTTGGCTTTTCCGCGGTGCCCCACCAAGAAGTATCGATTCTTTTGATTTCGGAATGTGCATTCCAGCACGACCCGGCTGGCAGTGTGTGTGCATATGTGCCCCCTCCCAACCACCTCCGACCACTTTGGAACTCGCAACGGCAATGCTCGCGTAGCCGGTGGCGACGCCGATCTTCCCACAGTAGCCAATGTTCGCGAACATCGCCTGGACGATGCTACTAGTAACAAAGGGCATCGCTACTAGGAGCAAGGAGCTCCTGGCATCGCTAGTAGTAACAAGAAGCTTCAAGTGGCCTGGACGATGAGGAAAATGCCATGCTGCAAAAAGTTCCGTGGGAAGCCCACCACCTGAACACGGTGCCGGCCCGCGGCACCGTGTGGCAGCACGGAGCGGCACAAGCCGCCCACGCGGGGTGGATGACTTGACTGGGGCTGATAACAATTGAAAACCTCCGACACGAGTGATCCACGCCATCCAACTCTTTGCACCACTTCTTGAGAACGCATGAGAACACGCACATACATGCTCCCTGCCTGCAGAATGTAAGGGTTCACCATCATTGTGCCCACCAAGCCCACAATGAGAGGCACCCAATTGGGCACGCCAACCATGCCCCAATCCTTGGCCCAGGCATCATTGCAGTCCTCAGGTCGTCCGCGCAAGCCGCAGACCTGCGCACCTCCGTCGTCCAGCGCGTTCAGTGTGGTCCCAGGTGCCAACGATCCGCCGATCCACCGGTGTCAATGCCCCTTCATGCACGCGCGTTCCACCAGGCTGCGCGGTTTCGCACGTTTTGAACTCATCAAGGAAACTGCCTACGAGTGGTCTGTGAGCCCACCCAAGTTGAAACAAAGCCACCCATCGGATGCTTTCTGTCCCTCCCACTCCTTCCCACGTCGTCCGCCCACCGTCACCAACGCCTTCGCTATGTCTAACCCGCTGAGGCTCCACCCAGTAGGTGTACTCGTCCGGATCCTCGAAGTGGCACTCCGAGAACTTCAACGACAAGGTGGGAAAATGCCAGTACCTTGTTGTACTTCGGTGGCGCACCCCGGTGTACGGGACATATGCACGACAAGGTGGGTGAGGTGGGTCTGTGTCTGGAACTTTCATGGTTTGGAAAAGGAACCCTTGGTGTGGTAGGTGGCGCAGCTACAAAGGATCTAAAAAAAGGGAGAGATGTTGCTTATTGTTGCTGGCTTTTACAAGCACCCAGCCGGTGACAAGGCTCACTGGCATGCATCGCCGGACTCGGGTTAGCCAGAAAAATGCTCCAGGACCACTCTGGACTAAAGGGTGGCCACCCTAAGCCCGAAGTGGCCTATATCTAGCCTCTTGAGGCAGCCAAAACTGGCTCAAACACCCACCTCCAAACCTGCTCCATCGATCTCCATCGTTCCACCTCGCGACACATAGATCAGCCCAATGAGGGTCGTCGCCAAAGAGGTGACGCAGCTCGCATACGCCAAGAGGTTCCCCAGAGCCGCCATCGCCGGAGCACCGCTGGTGGAGCACCGCGACCGACCCGGGGGGTTCACGCAGCTGAGGGTGGACGGCAGCGGCACGGTGCGGTCCTGATGTTTATGGAGCCCCATCTTAAATGACATCTCCCGTGCTTGTGCCATCGACTTTTTGTTGGAAGCCATGGTACGACATACAATGACCAGGGCGAGCCTGGTCGGGTTTGGGGTCTGATGGGGCAACCCAGGGCCATCCCCAAGTCGAGAGGCCAATACATCCACCTCAAAACACTTGCATCCATCCCAAGGAACGCGACGGAATGGGGCTCCTGGCACCGCTACGAACGGAGCGTTCGGACGCTACCTAGTAGTAAGGTCCATGTTTGTGAGTCGGGTCTCTCGAAGTCGGCCTCTGGTTTGGCCGAGCAGCAAAGCACAAGGTCGAGAAGGCCTGTGGCAGGTCGGGCGGCGAGGAGGATTGACCGGCAAAACGCGGGTGAACCACCAGCGAGCCTCATCACGGTGCTGTCCGCTTAGCTGGGCTCAGGTACTACCAGGTACTCCTGGTGGATTAGGGGATCTGTGGGATACTAGGCACTGCCACATTCTTGCCTCCACTCTTCTTCCACCCTTTTTTCACACGTTCCTCTCAAACGCTCTCTTGTTCTCGCTATCTCATCTTCGACTTCATCATCCCGTCCTTTCCTCCATTTTCCCCACCTCCACCTCCTCTCCCTGCCACCATCCCGCCCCCCCCATGCCGTGCCGTGCGCCTTGAAGATCAGCAACCCCTCCCGGTCCCGCCGGGTGAAGCCCACCTTCGAAGAGACCTCGTGGCCGTGGAGCATCCGGGTGTCTTGGGTCCTCCCCGCGGAGCTTCGGACCAATTGAGCTCCGAACCCTCCAGGACCCTCCAGGACATGCGAAAAGAGACACGGACTGCCAAAAATGCGTTGAACAGAGGATCTGCGGCATGTGAATCAATTATGAACATGTTCAATGAAGAATTAATAATTCTCACATATTCTCACCCGTTTCTTTCCTTTTTGGGGGGCCACATGCATCATGCAGCTTCGTTCCTCTTCAGCTCACCCTAGAAGACTCCGGTTGCTGAAGCCGCCAGTCCAGCTCCTTCCACCGTCCGTCAACCCAACGATTTGCCCAGCTTGGGCCCCCCAAACGAAGATGTGGAGCAAGCCAATCATCCAGTTCACCTCACATCGCTGAGCACGCCGGCCCCGCCCCGCCGAAGCTGCAAAACCCGAAACGCAAGCGCCCTGGTGCTGAGCGACGGTCTCTTCGAAGAAATCTCACGTGGATGCCGAAACTGGCTATGGCGGCTATGGCTCTGTGTCTCCCTCCCAACCTATCGCGGCACCAAGGCTCTTCTGGCTCCTCTTCCCCCCACCCATCCATAGCTCAGCTCCACTGGCACCACCGGCCCAGGGCATCCGAGCCGTCATGACCAGAATGCCCATCACAGACCTCAAGCAGCGCGCGGACCCGCGCCGTGCAGACTTGCATGGCTGTGGGGTGTTCGGACTGGTTAGCATTGGTCATGTCCCACTTTCGGCTCCATAGCACACTTGCATGCGCACCCGCAAGAGGCCACAATGCCCAACTGGCCTCAAACGACCCCGTTGATGCTTCAATGACTCCGGCCAACCCAACTGGCAGGGCGAATTTGGCCCAGGCACATCATCACACCCGTCGGCAAGCTACCAGCCTGACGACGGTTGAATGTTGGGTACAATGGCTTCGGTTCGATGGCACTGGCACCCCGTTTGATGTCTTAGACAGCCGGAGGTCCATGTGAACCACCGAACTTGGGGTTGTGCCACCTACTTCTTGAAACCGCTGTGCTCAAAATCTGTCTGAGTTATTCTGAGTTCACAGACACCTGAAGCAATCGCGCAGCTACGTCGCGGTGTCTCCGAACTCCCCTGCTTGAACGGTCAATGACCTCTGCAAAGCTCGTCAGGTTTCCCCACCCCGAGCCCCACCCACGGGCGTCGGTATGATCTGCATCGCAGACGGGCGCCTGAGACACGTAGCTGATGTTGTAGGTCGCCAAGGGCAGGAAAACCACCGCAGCGATGACACCGAAACCTGGTGGTGCAGCCAGCCACAAAACCCAGCCTTTGACAACCATTCCGAGGGCTGTGAACCTGTGCAACACCTATGGAACGTCGATCGAGGAACTTTCCCCCAAAAAAATAGGAGAACAATCAAAGTTCCTGACCTTCACTGAACCAACTTCTCTTTTCCCACCGACTTCCTCTCCCACCACAGGCACCGCCCGGATCCGCCAGGCGACTCACAAGCACCGCCACGCCGGCGAGCGCCGCGCGCACGGAGACGCTGGCCACGTCCAGGCCCAGGTGCTCCCAGGCGACCTGGACGCGACCGGAGCACGGGAGCAAGGAGAGCTCCACGCCTCTTCTTTGAAGGTGGGTGGTTGTGGAGCTGTTTGTGCACATGACACGCTTGGGGAGAAAAAGGACAAAAACACTTTACACCAAAAAGCTCGTCAGACAAACGGGCATGCATTTAGCAAACACGGCACTTGAAGTGGATGGTTCAGAATGTGTCGAGTCTTTTGCTTCAGATCGCACATGCCGGTGTCCCTCTACCAAATGAGAACGTCATCCAGCTTCCACAAGGGGAGGGCCTTTTGTTGTGCGGGAAGCGGGAAGCCGGAGGGCAGCTTCGGAAGAGCCGGAGGCATCTCAGGCCGAAACAACGCCTGATGAAGCAAAGAAACACTTCACCGACTTCACCTTTAACCATACTTATAAGTTATAAACAATCCCTATACTGGTAACATCTGGTAACCAAAGATTGGTTTGAAAAGGAAGGGTGCCTCTCCGACGGGTGAAGACACCTCGTACATCCCAACGACAGACCCCTGCACCGAACCTCGGGTGGCTCGCAGGCCACGTCCCGCACCGTCAGCCGGTGCATCTGCCCCTCGTCGTCCACCTCGAAGGCGCAACAGGGGTGGACGCGGTGGACGTCAAAAAACAAGAGATGATTGTGGCAAACAGGCAGGGCACAGGGCAGTTCTGGGCATCAAAGGCAGTTCTGGGCTTGCTTGTGAGTTGTCCCTTTCAACATGCACAGATAGTAGATGTAGAGAAGAGATGGTGGAGCTGCTGTAGCAGCTGGCAACTCCTTTGGCCCTGTTCCTCTGTCGCCCATCCCCATCATCCACCCAAGCCACCCAGTGGAGCGGTGACAGCAAGAACTCCGGCGTCAGGGAGTGCGGCAAAAGCGGCGTCTGCGTGCCGCGGGCGTCGGCGAAAGCATCAGCGCCAAAGGCTCAAAAGGACAATCGTTGGACGAGATTCTTCGTCATCTCCAGAAGAAACACGAATGTTCCCATCAACCGAACTCATCGGCAAAGAAAAATCTCCGTTGCTACTGAGAATGGAGGTCGGCACTACCCATTCGATCTCAACATAGTCAATCTAAAATGCCTTTCAAAAACCAAAGATCTTTCAAGTCATTTTCTACAGGTTCTACAAAGTCCAAAATGGGTCTGGAAGTCATAACTTCAAAAAGTGACTGTGCCGGAAATGACCGAGCCAACCTAAGGCACAAACAGGTCTGTATAGCCAAAGTAGTACTTTGGCTTAGCCAAGGTTTCATGAGTGACATCCATGTTATATAATATAAGATTCATAGACTCATTTTATTGTTCCTTATGCTAAATGAGTCAAATGAGTATATAAAGCAAAATGCAAACACGTGGTCGACCGCACCCATGTTAGATTGTCGGTGGCAATGGGGGGGGGTCATTGCAAAACAAGCACCAGTCAGACCCAACCAACAGCGGTTCTTTGGCTCTTGGGACCCTTGGGATGGGGACCCCCATCTTGGTGAGCCATAATAGCTTCTTGTTCCTAGTAGCGTCCTTGCTCCTAGTAGTACGGCCAGGAGCCCCTAGTAGCGTCCTTGCTCCTAGTAGCGATGCCAGGAGCCCCTAGTAGCTTCTTTGTGAGCCATAGCGGCCTGAAAAAGCTTCGGGAGCTTTCCACTTTCACCTCTGGGACCCGGGAAACCCGAGCCAGCTTGGCGCTCCGGGCCTTCCCGCGCGTCAGCCGCTGCATGGCCGTGGGCTCGGGGAACTGCCGCTCGGCGGTGTGCAGGTCATAGTTGTGCGAGAAAATCACCTGCACCGCACAGGCACGGTCCGTCGCACGGGCGTCCGTGTCTGGGCATGCTACTGATCGCTGTTTGGCTGGTTTGGCTGCGGAAGGCGTTGCCATTTCAGGGCATATGTGTGATCTCAGGCTTTTGCTTTGGTAGTCCAAATGGGGGTTCTCAATGTCACTTGGGTTGCTGGACCTTCTCATTCTGATTGGGATTCGCTCCTGCCAATTCCTGGATTCTCTGAAAACCGGCGCCCCTCCCGAGAAAAACACTCCCCCCAGCCACACAATCCTGGAGAGGAGCGCAAGAAAAACCGGTCAATGATCAAGCGACGAAGACGGAGCCCGCATTCTTCAGACCACCGGGCTTGCTCCGGTCCAGCCACCGCCTAGGCGACTCGGGCGACGGCGACTCGCCGCGTTTCTTCACCAACATTGACCGACGCATGTCCTGTCTCCGTCGCCGTTCGGCAGGTGACAGATACTTTAAACCATGGCTCCTCCCACTGATACATCTGAAACATCTCGAGGTCTGCTTGATTCTCAAGTATCCGTACATCCCTATGTTTCCTGCCAAAACCCGCAGGAAAAGCTGGAAAGAGTGCACCCAGAAGACTAGAATCTGCGAACTTACTGCTCCTCTTCCTCCACCGTCCGCTCCACGCTTCCGTCCGCGCCCGCCTCACTTCGTCCCGCTCCTCCTCGGAGAGGCCCAGGCCGCGGCGGCCGATGACGCTGCCAGCGAGGTTCGGATGATATGCGCCTGTTCGGCGGCCCGGCGAATGGTCTCACGGCTTCGGGCGCTGTTCGGGCACTGCTGCTGGTCTCGGGGGGAATTCCAAAAACGGCCCAAAAGCCTGATGCACGGATTCTACAAAAGACTGGCTACACTTGGCTTCCTGTCTTTCCCTGCGTTTTTCTTTATAAATCAATTTCAAGAGTCCAAAACAGCCCCAACACATCCCCCACCTGCAGCGACATCTTCGTCCACCAGGACCTTCTCCCAGAGCTCCCGCACACGTTCACGCCTCGAGAAAAAGCGAGCTTTCCGGCGGTTTTCAGGGGCACCGCCATGGAGATCATGGAGTGGTCACACAGCGTGATAGCACATGGGGCTAGGAGCTGCTGTGAGAATGATTGTCACATCAGAGAAACTGTTCAGCTGCGTACATGCGTTCATGCCATGTGAGATAACCGCGCATAGCCTGGGTGTTGATCTCAAATAGCTTCAGCAGGCTAAGCTAGATGTTCAACATAAAAGCTTAGACATCGACCCGAGCCTCGACTCAGTTCAGCCACTGCTCACTACTGCCCACACGTGGAGAAGCTGCTCACTACAGGGGTGGACCGGTGACCGGTTTCTTCTCGCCAAGGCCCCTCTTCCCCCTGAGGCACAGAACAAGAACCATCAACAAATGTCTGGAGAAGTCCCGACCTCAAAGAAGTGGTGAGCTGCTTGGTGCCTTCATTGCCACTTCATTCCCCACCCCAACGGTTCCATGGGCTCCGTCCCGGCGGCCGGTCCCGGTAGTCGTAACACACGGAGACCTGCACGTCCTCGAGGCCTCGGTTGGCCGTTCCGGTGGCCCCCGTTCCCGTCGTCCCAGCGACCCCCAAATGGTGGTCGTAAAGGGATGATGTGTTTCGATCCACCGTCAAAGTGAGGCAAATAGTTATGATATGATAGTACTGTATAGATAGTGCTGTATAGGATTGCATGTGACTTCTGGTCTTTTTGTGGTTATTATGTTTATGCGGTTTGGCACCGCACCAAATTCGAGAGGTCCTTGATGGGGGATTGATGCAATACAAGTTTAGCATAAATACTTCTACACACCTAGCAAAAAACTACAAATTGCAATGTCAACGATTTAACAATTGTGTTAGGGACCTAGTCCATCAATGCCTGGTGTGTCCAGCATACCTCATCCGTCATCCAAGAGTTCCCCAAACGTTTTGCCGTATTCATTTCACTCTTGCTCGCCCCCCCTCAAATCCGTGATTGGTGATCAAGACCGGCACGCCCATCTCTTAGTAGCTTCGAATCGAAAAGCGGTCCGCAACTTCCCATCTTACAGCACCCTTGCACCCCTCAAAACCAACCATAGCTCACATCCGAAAACTCCATTTCCCATCCACCTTTCTCCCCCAGCCTCCCCTGATCCAAGGAGCCAAAGGCCTGGCGCACGAACTGCAAGATCTGCTCCTCATCCGTGGCGCTGGCTGGAAAACCTTCCAAATTCAGCGCGAACTCCGCCAGCGACGGGTGCCTGCAAGGCGTAATGCAGCACCGAGGGCGGTACGGCACCCAATGCGGCACCGTTTAGGCGATTTTCTCCAAGCCAACACCAGGGTCCTGACGCATCCTTATACACATCAGAAAGGGTGTGTATGTGTATATATATATATATATGTCTGTGTGTGTGTATGTATATATAAATATATATAGTAGTTCTACCTGATTTTTGGCCTCATCTTCGATCACTGGCCTCCGGTGGAAGTTTTGCGCGACCCGCTTCTGCCGCAAGGCATGCCAAAAGGAGAGCAGAAGGCCTCACATCAGAGGTCCAGAAGGAGTCGGTGTTGGGCAAGTCTTTCAGAATGACCCATCGGAGTATATTCCGAAACCACTAGATAGATGAACTCGTGTCTTGAAGTCACCTGAACACCACTGGGGGAGGTCAACTCCATGAGCGATTATAGACAAAGACCTTGGTCGAGTGCTTCCCGGTCCCCTCTGCCGGTTTGTCCGGTGTCCAGCGACGCCACGGTCCGCCACGGCACCCAGAAGCCAAAGGAGGAAAAATCCCAGAGCTGCTCTGCGGGCAAAGTCCTGATCGAGACCCCTCTCTCTTTTTCAGACGGCGGACCAGGAAGATGACCCGGGAAAAACTGAAACGTCATTGCATATATAAATCCGAAAAGAATAAAGAATCCAAAAAGGCCCGAACAAAATCCTAACTGATGTCCCACAGGGAACACCACTTCAGACCAGCGCTGAACCAACTCCCTAATCGACATTCCAACGCCGCATCCCGCGCACGATCCTGGGCGGCGGAGCCCAAGTGGTTCTGCTGCGAATTCAGGCCGCACAAAGTCATTGCCTCGGCATGCTTGGAGATCCAAAAACGTTCCAACATTGGTGGCACCAGGCTGTGGCGGCTAGGGTGGGAGAAGAAGCTGTTGAGCTTCCACAAGGCAACCGGAACCTTTTCCAACCAAACACCCGACACCCAAACACTGTGTATGCGGGGTCTGCTGCTCCAGCCACACCCTACCAATCCCTTCACCCCCTGGCACTGCACCCCTCTTATCCCCTCTCCCATCACCCCCCTCCATGGAGCAAGCAGTTGGCCCAGCAAGCACCGCTCCACAGCCCAGGCGCCCCGTGCTTGCCATCGATCTCCTCCCACAGAAGGTGTGAGGCGTGGTCGAGGCCCGTGCGCATGAGCTGACCGCTCAGCTCAGAGCGCAGATAAATCCATGCAGTCCTCCGGGCCGGGGCGCAAAAGGTGACGAGATGATGCAACGAACAACTTGTGGCGACGGTGGTGGAGCGCAACAGACGAACGTGCTAAGCAGTTGAGTAAAGATTAACATGTTTGGTTTCTCCCTTGTGCTGCGCTGCTCAAGGTCACTTTCGCGATCGTTTCATCCTCTCACCCCACACAGTCTGACCCTCGTCTCTGCACTGTCACCGTGGCACTGACTGCGGACGAGCTTCCCGGCGCACATGACCGAGCTATACAAGGTTAAAAAGCCGTGCCACCTGCAGCTTGTGAGCTACACATAGCTACACATTCTGGCCTTCATGCACATTATATACCTGGGCCCTGAGAGGGCTACCAAAACAGAGCCAGACCATATTACACATGTGGATACGGCCCTCTTTGACAAAGTACGCCCCTTTCATAAAAGTACGTCCCTTTAGTATGTTCATTATTTTCAGGGAATCTTGAATTGATAGAAAACTTCCATGAGTGGTATCATGATTATTGTTTGCACCACTTACCTCACCCTCCTTGCCATCGCCTCTTCCCGCAGCGAGCTTTCCCCCGGGCGATCGACACGCTCCATGTCCAAGTGCCGGGCTGAGAGTGTGCACATTCAGATTGGCAGCGTTTGTTTCCAAAGTTTCAACATGTTTCAATATGAAAGATAGACAGTGTTTGATCTTCCCTCAAGACAAAACAGTCAAGTGCAGTTGCATGTGTTTGCATTACTGTGTCCTAAGCAACTTGAACAACACATGTCGCCAATCATCTCTTCACACTAGATCAGCCCTCGCTTATCATGGTCTGATTCCTGTATGGCATTAAAGCTACAGATCAAGCTACGTTCCATGACCCGCTTATGCAGTTGCCGAACAGCGACCCTCCTACTCAGTCGGCTTGGCTTGCCAACAAAATCCTCTTGCATCTGCACCGAGGTGCTGAGTGGTGATACCAAAAACTCAACACCCATGGGGGCACTAATTAACCTTACACCTTCATGGTGCACAAAATGAATTTTCGGCATCAGCGGAAAACGATTGCGCTCTTCTTCAAAGGATTTCCGCGCACAAAACCCGTAGCATTGGACAAATGTCATGAGTAGCTGCCCTAGCCTCACACCACGAGCCCGCGGCAACCAAAACCCTGCTGAGTACATGTAGGCCATCGCGCGGTTGATGGCTTTGGTTCCCGAAGCCTCAGCTTCAAAGGACACACAAGTAACATATCCAATGACCACTAGGTGCACATGAACACAAAGAGGAAACACAATGTTAAACAAATCAAGTCTAAAAGACAATTGCAATCATTACCTCATCAGTAGTTTTGCCAAGAACATGTTGATCACAAAAGAACTCCAAGTACTTCATCATGTCGGTGCTCACCGAACCCTTTGACCACTGTCCAACAGGACATGACTTGCTGGTGATAAATCCCATCGTGGACCGTGAAATCTCCTCCATGTGGGGCGAAATGTGGTGGTCCTGGCAGAACTGCTTGAAGCCCTGAGTCAAGAAGGCAAATCTGTTCTCTACAGATGCCTCAGGCCAGAAGTCCATCCTCTCGATTGCACAAACAAAGCTGTTGGCCAACCAATGTTTCGCCAGGCCAAGCTGCACATTGTGCCAAATGTCAGTGGCAAAGAAATGACTCACACATGTTGGGTCCAACAAAGCATCATTCAGCAAAGAAGGCCTCACCGTCCAAGCTGGCACCTGTTCCACCGTGGTCTTCCATCCGGGATTGATGGAGAGATCCTCATAAGGATAGGCTGGTCTTCCTGCCCGATCACTCTCCTGACCAGCCTGGCACAGATGGCATATGCCATCCGATGCGGTTTTGCTGGACGCTGCTCTGGGAACATGACTGAAGGTCCTGCAAAGGCCAGCTATTTTGGCCAGAGCGGGCAAGTCGCCCTTCGTGTTGAGATGGATCATGTGAATCCTCTTGCCTCCACTACTCAAGCCATGCCGCGCAAGAAAGGCAGCATCTCTCGCAAAGATTTGCATGAGGGTGTCAACGGCTTCTGGGCATTTCATGGTCACAGAACGCAACATGGTGGCGAAGAGAAATTGTGTGCCCCAGGTCGAGCCCACAAAATTCAGTCCAAACTCCATGTCTTTGATGGGCATGAGGTTCTTCTCTCTCCTCAAATACTCATGAGTGCCACGACCTACAGCTCCATGGACTGAAAAAATCCAGATTGCCTGGTGCTTGTACCCTCTTCCCTCATCCTGGCGACTATAGTATGGAATGCATACTGACAGGTCAAGCCCCAAATCAGGATCAAAGATCTGGTGTTGCGGATGGAGTTGTCGGTAGCGCCTCCAAAATTCTGTCAAAGCTGCTCGCATGCTTTCAAAGGAAGCACACCCACAAAACAATCGCCAAATGCGACCAGTGTCAAAGAGCCACTGGGCCCAACTGCTCAGTTTCACAAATGGAAACTTCGAAAGCACTCCAGGACCCAAATTGACATGCTCGGTTCTTATTGGAGCCGTGTACCCATACTTTTGAAAAAGCTCATGGACACCTCTCTCAGAGTCTTTTAGGGACACTGCAGCAAATTTCTTGAAGATGTCACTGACATTGGGGTGAAGACTAACCTGCGACTTGGCAAACTCCACCACGTGGCAGCATGGGGCCTGGGCGCCAACAAGCGCTAAACATGATGGAACAACAAAAGCTCAAAACCTGCACAGGCATGTTTGAATACTGACTGTTTGAAATGCTCTGACAACTGAACGGGAGACCGATAAAGATAATGAGAAACAGACTGAGGAATGCAACTTTGAGGCGCAATTTCATCCTTTTCCACCCTTTGATCCGCTGTGCCCCTGCGAATTGAGCAACCTCACAATGCTAAGGGTTATCAACCCACCCAGCGAGGCTGATCTGCCCTACCTGCCACGCAATAAACATAAAACGGTGGCAGCATAGCTCTAGATGACCTGTTCAAACCCCCTTCTCCACCAGAGTTTGGCTTGTTCTTGCAACCCACCATGGTTGCAAATTCACAGATTAGAGCGGCCTCCAGCATGTTGGTAAGACCTAAACTTGGGGAAGAATGAATTAGCCACATTGATGTGTAGCCCAAATCAATATATGAAGCATATCGCAAAAGCGGGTTCGCAGTGATTCCAATCTTGAATATGCACACACTTCCCCCAACGGCTTGTCGCATGTTGGAGATTTGTTCTTTGCAGTGGAGCAAGATTCTACCACTGGTAATGTTTGCACTGGCATTCAAACATTTGTTCAACAGCCCATGGCAGCAGACTGTTTCCCAGTCAAACGACACAGCTTTGAAGTCAAGACCGAGCTCAGTTATCACTTTCTTGTTCGGGATGTCAGGGTTGTCCTTAGATCATTTGCTGCGCATGTATAGGGACCACTCATGTGGATGTTGACTAGAAACTTTCAAGCCAATGATCATCCAAACATGTGAGATGTATCTCAACATATCTCAACCATTTGGCCGAGGCACTGCCCTTTGCTTTGGAGGAGACCAGCTGTGGGCATGGTGATCTCGGAAGAAGTAGTCATGGTAGAACTCCATCTCATCATTCTCGATAAGGGCCACAGGGGAACATGTATGTTCTAGCCTTGGTTCATTGGTTCATTGGTTGCTTCAGTTATTTTGTACCCTCCATGCACACAAACTTTTCTGATACATAGTAACTGCAATACAACAGGCCCTGTTCTAGAGTCAAGCCACTTTGAGACCTTGAGGCGGTCACCAAACGAAGCAGTCGGAGCCGGTCGCTTCGCCATCAGGGTCACGGGAACTATAAAAATACAAAGTTCAGAAGACATATGCAAAACATAGAGGCATGACATAGAGCTTACTTAAGTTGAAGTGGTGGTGAAGCTTAATCGCATGTATAGGACAATCAGCCAAAACACTGGGCGTGACTGAAGGTGAAACTGCATTGATGCATCATTACCTGGGGATCCTGGCTCCGTAGGCGATCATTTTGGCAAAGTGTTTCAAGGACTTCTGCTCATCGTTCAAGCCCTGACCTGGCCAAATAGTGCGCAGGTCTGCAAAGCAGTGGGCCAGGTAAGGATAAGGTTGGGGCCTTGGGGCTTGGAGGAAAACTGCTTTGTTCAAGATGGGTGCATTCTGCAGCACAGGTATGTTGTTTTCAACTGCGATGAGCAACGTTCACATCCACATGCTTCGCACGTGATCACCCCTCAAGTGCTTGAAGACACTTGAACTTGAACCCTCAAACATTGCACAGTTGATCAGGCCATTTGAGTAGGCCCCAAAACTCTCCACATGGCATAGGCCCATCACTGGTTGCTGGATTTCATCTTCTTCAGGATGTTCCTGAGCCAAGTACAGGGATGACAGCACACCTACATAAGCTTAGACATTGTTTGTACTTTATCAGCTCATGCACATGCGCGTAAACATGCACATTCAATGATACGGTAAATCAGTTTCAATGACTATAACCAAGCGGCCGAGCATTGGTCTCAGCAGTAGTCACCTTGCTGCACCTTGGGGTGGCATGTCTAGATGAGATGGGGAATCGTGGGAACTGGCTTTTCCGCGAAGCAGGAGAACAGTGGCAACAGTGGCTTGCTGGAAAGGCACGCAACTGTCGTGGCTTTCACTTGCCGGTCAACTTTGTTGAGCATCCTTGGCTGGAACTTTGCACCAGGTTCACATTGTAGTGAACAGGCTTTGAGCAGGTAGGATTCGAACAAGCAAAACTTAGTTGCCTACGATTTCATCTCTTCCGTCAACTCTTTACTTTTGAAAGACTTCATGGCAGAGACTTCCACTTTCAAAGCCTGGATCACTTCGTATTCCTTCTCCAAGATTTCCGTGGCCGACTCCAGGCCCTGAACTGACCTGACAAAAGCTGTTGGAGAAGGCCTGGTAGACCCCAGTGGTGTGGGTGGCATGATGGGTTCAGGAGATCCAGCGTGCATGGTCAATTAAGGGGGGGGCTTCCTTCCACGTGCGGCATCAGGGGAATCAGGTTTGGCAGCCATCTCACTCTCCAGGTTGCCAATGAGGTCACTGACTTTTGTGGAGCGGGTCAGAAGAGAATCCCCCAGCTTCGTCAGGTTGGTGTACTCCTTCAACAATTTCCATTTGGCAGGAGAGCCATACAAAAGAACATATATCCATTCCACAGAGAACCCACCAGTCCTGAGGTGGTCCAAAAGCCTCTTTGGCTTCCTTGTCCGAATCACCAGAAGCGCTGGCAGCAGGTGAATCTGGCAGCTGCTCAAGCTTGCCACGGTTCATCGTGGGCTG